AGAATGTTAGAACTAAAATAATTTGGATATGAAAAACTAATAAAAAAGATTGCTTACTAGCAAGCTCTACAAATCCTAGTCTAAACATAGTCAGAAAAGCTCCATCTAAAATATCAACAAGAAAAGAAAAAGAGATTATCCTTGCCAAGATCTATATTAAAAAAATGCTCTAGGTGAAAACTTTCAACAGCCCAACAATTTAAAAGTTAGAACCTACATGAAAAGATTAGTAAATAAGGAAAGATAAGGAAAAAGAAAAGAAACATAGAAATAAAAATACTTATCTGATCTAAAAAGGATGAATAAATTGAAACAGATCAAGAAAAGCGAAGTTAGTATAAGAAAGAATTAAAAAAGATTGAAAAAATTCAAAATCAGTGAATGATCAACCAATGACTAATATGCTAATCACATGGGTAACATCACAAAGGTAAGATTAAAAGAAGATCACCTATGTACATTTTTAACTTTTGTATCACCTCTGAAATGAACCTAGAAGCAGTCCTGATTCCTATAAAGTTCTGTCAATGATAATGAAACCCTAAAATAACTAAATTAGTAAAACAGTATATATTATAATCATTACCAAAAATGTTAGCAGATAAGTAGTCAATACACACAACCACAAACAAAAGAAAAATGATAGTTAGTTGCTAGTCAAATAGGGAAGATCATGTATAACAATACTTAGTAGAAAGGTGAGGCAAATATTGATTTGACATGAGTTTAAAGTGTCTACTAAGTATTGTTACATAAGTATTTTGATACAATTTTAAAAACATTTGACTTAAATTTATTTGAGGGCTTTTATTAAAGACTTTCTTGTATGGATGGCAAATTGTATATACACTGAATGAATTTACAAGAGAAATTTGTTCTTCTATTTATAACAATTTTATAGAGCAAAAAAAGAACAAGATAAAACATTTCTCCAATCATTTGTCATTAAACTGTCTTTGCCATTTAACCATTTTCTGGTCTAATTCCCACCCTTACACACAGCCATTCTCATTGAAGTATTCGGCAGGATGAAAAAGAAGGTAAAAAGAAGGTAAGTTGAATGAAGGCTTCTATGCCATCATCATTCTTTACCCGTCAATTCCATTCATTCATCCATTGACTCATCCATTGACTCATGTGCTTCTCTCTTTCACGGCCACACACTTTACCTGACAAGGTTATTTTACCTTGACAGCTGTCAACCGAATTGGGTAAGCGTCTTATTCTTCAATGGGATCGTTTGATGGGAGCTTGGTTTCATAAGATAAACGTTTAATGGGTTCTTGGCTTCAACAGGTTTACTTGCATGTGATCATCGCTTGTAAATCGTGGGTCCCGGGGGCATTGCAGTGTAACGGTCTTTTGTGTAACGATTCGTAGGTCAATTCAATGAGCACGTGGTTTTGCCAGTAACACCATCATAAAGTAGCATAGCAATAATGATTTTCACATTAAGTTCACACTATCATTATCTCGCCATTAAAGAATTGCTATGTTATTAGACATTTAGCATCATTCAATCCACATAACTTCTATTAACGGTTGGAGCTTCACTGTTCATTCATTGTGCGTCGCTCTCTCATTCAACCGTTACACTATTTATATTACCGAAAATCAGGAGATAATCAGCAAAAATTTTATCATACAAATGAATTGATTGTCGGGAGTGTTGTGTTTACGAAATGAGTGTCGGTGAACTACAGTACTTTATATACTTACTATTATTATCGGAGGAGATTCAATTGAGGAAAATCACTTCTTATGTGGGTAATTATTTTCGAACTTGGACCAATTTTATATATGTAATAACATTTTTTTGGTCTGAATTCAAAAATAATTACCCATGTAGATAAATTATATTAGTGCGATTAAAAGTTGAGTTTATTTTATGTGGCTTGTTCTCTTGGCATATGAAGTTTTATATTAATTTAATAATCTTAATGCGTACGTACGTAATCTTTTTTAGCATAGCAGATCGTAAAGTTTTTTTAAATTAATAAATAACCTTTTCTTGGAACGTAAAATGCATATATTAATCTAATTATTCTTTTCTCATCCTATGCATCTACCTCTTTCCTTTAATAATATAATACTCTCATTAACATTTCCTTAAGATGTATATATTAATCTAATTATTCTTTTCTCACCCTACGCATGTACCTCCTTTCTATATTATACCTTCGTTGGCTAAAAAAAATTTTTTTTACGGAAAAAATAGACATGTATAGACATTTTAATAAAATATTCTCCGATAAATGACATTATTAAAAGTTGAGTTTATTTTATATTACTATCGGCATGCATAATAAACTTACCAAAAATGTTTAATGCGGATTGGCTATCAATATGCAGCTTGTTCTCTTGCATATGAAAGTTTTTATATTAATTTAGTAATCTTAATGCGTACATACGTAACCTTTTTTTAGCATGACAGATAGTAAATTTTTTATATTAATATATTATTCTAAAATAACCTTCTAAGATACATATATTAATCTAATTATTCCTTTCTCATCCTATGCATCTATCCCTTTACTTTAATAATATAATATTCTCAATAACCTTTCTTGGCACGTAAGATGCATATATTAATCTAATTATTCTTTTTTCACCCTACGCATCTACTTCTTTCCTATATTATATCTTCGTTGGTTAAAAAAATTTTTTTACTGAAAAAATAGACATGCTTAGACATTTTAGTAAAATATTATCCGATAAAAAAATAAAAATGCTTGGTTTTCAGTCAATTATCTTGGTTACCATTTCACTCTTGGTGACTTTAATCACTACTGTTACCGCTCAGCAAGAATGTGCATCATACACATCTACATTTAACTTTTCTGGGTTTCCAGAAATTTGGAAAAAGCCTACAATTAAAGATTTTAATACAAAAGATTTTAAGTGGATTAACAGTTCTATTAATTGGTCGAAAGTACCTAACATTGCACCTCGTAAAATGGTCAATGGGGATATAGATATGACTGGTTATCCTGATAGTGACCCAGATTGTTGGTGGTCATATAGTACGTGCACAACGCCCAAACCACCACTGCAACACGATGTTACTTTTTGTCCTACGCCTGGTGAGAACTTAATTGTATTAATGCGTTAAAATTTCTTCGTGTTGCCATATCAGATTAACGATATGTTTGTTGCTAATATTCAACTATTCATTTTAAAGGTACTTGGGGCTTGACATACGATGATGGTCCAAGCTGCGCTCATACTGTGTTTTACGACTTCCTTAGGGATAACAATCAGTCAGCGACGATGTTTTTTATTGGATCAAATGTTGCAACATTACCACACGAAGCTCGGCGGGCTTACTTAGATGGTCATCATATTTGTGTTCATACGTGGTCTCATCCATATATGACTACACTTACCAACGAAGAAGCGCTTGGAGAATTGTTCTTCGCAAGGGAAGCTATTAAACGAGCCACAGGCGTAACACCTCGTTGCTGGCGTCCTGTAAACATTAATTTCATAGTATAAAATGATTAATTACGGACCAAAATTACATATTTTTATTTTATTTTCTTCTTTGATAGCCTTATGGTGACGTTGATAATCGAATTCGTGCGATTGCTCAACAACTTAACATGTTAACTATTATCTGGAATCTTGGTAAATGAACGTCCGAATGTCATACGAGTTTGTTCAAATTTAACCACAATTATAACATTTACAGATACCAATGATTGGAATATGGAGCCTGATGGCACTGAACAGCCGGCACAAATTGATGCTACTTTCCAAAGCTTTATTGATATGGGTCAAAATGGAACCTTCGCTGATTCTGGTGCAATCGTTCTGGAACATGAACTAAACAATGGCACAATGTCCAAGGCTATTGAATGGTACCCAAAGATCAAAAGCGCCTTTAAACATATTGTTCCTATCGCCTCATGCATGAATATTACTAAACCATATATTGAATCAAATATCACCTATCCATCATTTGC